GGTAGGGTGGTGGTGGGGTTGACGGCGGCGGTAGGAGGTGGGGTGGTGGTGGGGCTGATGGTGGTGGGTGTAAGTGGGCAGTGGTGAGGCTGGTGGTGGGGGTTTCTTGTGGGAGGTGGGCTGTGGTGAGGCCAAGGGTATTTTAGTCCTTTCAACCCATTAGTCAAGCCACCTTAAAAATGAGGAAAAGTCAAAATGGGAACATCATTCCCGGACGGAGGAAGTAATACCTAATATAATAATATTCCATAACCATAAATAATAAACTACCTATAATAATAATAATAACCATAAATAATAATTACCTAATGATAATAGTAATAGTAATAATACTAAATATACTAAATGTAGTCCCGTAACACCCAATTTGTACTCCAAGGGTTTGCCTGAGCCCCTGACACAAAATGTAAGTGCAGCACTGACATGATACATTTTTGCACTTACATTTTATGTCAGGACAAATCTTTGGGGTACAAAGTGGAGTAGAAATAAAATTAATATATAATAAAATAAAATTAATCTTGCAAATTATATATCACCTCTAAGTTGAAATGAAGATATATAATCCTTCTAAGTTCTATCATCATCTTTTAGATAATATTTCATTTAATTTATAAACAATATCAACTTTTATTGCCCATCCAGCATTTTTCTGACAGTTTTTGCAAATTCTGTTTTAAATAATCGTAAGCAATACTGCCAAAGTGGGTTACATGCTATATGTGTGTATATAAAGAGAACATATTATAGCCACATAATACAAAGACAACACTAAGGGTTTGTTTTTTTGTGTGAATTTGTTAAAAAAAGGTTTCAAGCAAAGGTGCTTTTCATAAGAGCAGCTCTTTACCATAGTTTTTGATAACTCAAGTACAAGTCTAAAAAGCCTTTTTGGCTGGAATTTCCAAAATAAATCCTTCTCTTTAAAGTACTCTTAGAAGAAATACCAATCAACGATTCTTGGAAAATCACCACATTAAGTGTTTTTGTTTTTACTTCTTGAATTAAGAAAAAAAATATATCATTCTTTAATGATAAACTCATTCTTCCCGTCTGAAATTCCAAAAGCACATGCAAACATATACTGATGCACTTAAACAAGAATAACGATTTCCGTGTTGTGGGACAGATCAGCACTCTTTGAAATCGCATATGCTCATAGACAACAAGAACGGAACTCTGTATTTGACCATCATAGACTCGCATTGTGAGTTTGACACTTTTTGGGAACGAAAATGCAATCAGCAACAACTTGACTCATTCATCATGAGGCATTCTTAGAATCATTATGAGACATTAGCATGGTTATGATGCATTTTCTTTGGTCCCTCATGATCTATTTGATGCTTGATAAGAACAAGAACACACTATACCAAACTGTTGATTCTGTGAAACATAATGACCACTAGAAAATCCCAATTTTTTATATATCAAAGCCCATCTTCCCTAAAAAAATGAAAAGAACATGTATGTATAAGCTACTAAACTCAAAGTAATAGGAATGCATAATTACAAAATTAAATATGAAAGCATAATCACATGCATAATTGAAAAGCTAACAACAACAAAAGCACAATACCAGAAACAAACTAATCTACTTTCAGATGGAATTCACACAGTTTCTTTGGTTTGGTTAAAAGGTACGGAGTACACATTTTGTAGGATTATTATGATAAAGTGTGATGGCCAACAAGTACCAGACTGTCCAGCATGATTATTGTGAGTTTATTAACAATGTTTTAACGACAGAAATTCCCATTAACAACTTTGAAGGGTCTATATTCACCCCTAGAATCCTAAATTGGAATGCGTTGTTACCTAACCTGATCGAACTCTCGCAATTTAAATCAAAATCTGAGCTCTAACGGATGATTTCAGAAATATATTTACCTGAAGCAGAAAGAACAATTCCCTCAACAATAATGGTTGCGCCAAGACCTAACCAAGCAATAAGAAAAGCCCTCTCGCTTCTCTCGGGCTCCTGGGAGCGGGCATTGTCAGATCGTCCATCGAACTTGGGTTTTTCGATTGGGGCTCTTCGAATTACAGATGCCCTTCCTCTCTCGCCCTTCTGCTGCGTCTTTGGAGTTGAAGAGCCAAAACCTAGGCCGGCTCCGCCCAGCCTCTTCTGCGGCGGTACCGCCGTGGATGACGGCGCGTCTTCTGAGGGAGATGGGTCTCGCGATTTCGCGGAGAGATCTATGCGTCTCGCTCTGTGAGGAAGCAGATGATGACCTGGGGATTTCTTCTTGGTGATAAAAGAGGAAGATGATAATGGGAGTATTAGCGCCATTTTCAGTTTAGTCCGTTCGCCTCAACCACAGCTCTTTCTCCCTATCCCTAAATTTCGCGTGAATGGTCCTTTGTACCCTCGAAGATCCAATAACCCGCGGAGTAATTTAAATGCACTCTAAATTACTCCCTTCATTCATATTTAACTACTTGGTTCACTTTTCGAACTTAATATTTAATCTTAATATTTAATTGACAATATCTTTTAAAATATATTACCAAAAAAATATTAAAAATAATATATTTAAGGTATTTTTTTATACCAATAATTTTTTATAATTTTATATTTTAATTCATTGTATAATTTTAGATATAGTTTTGTGTGTGTGTCTATATATATATATATATATATATATATATATATATATAGACACACGTATATATAGTAGCAATTTTGATATATCAAATTTGTAAAACATTTAATTATTTAAAATTTTATTTAATTTATTGTTAAAGTGTTTCACAACTTAACCAAAATATTAAAATGTGGTATTTTTTTTGAAGAGAAGGAGTATTACATTTGAGAATGTAAAATACTTAGAATTTGTTACTCCCTACAATTTACTACTACGTACTCCCTCGATTCCTATTGTAATTGGGCACTGAAAAATGGGTCTGAGCCGGTAGGACACCTTGGCCCATTCTTGGGCCGGTCTTGCGTATGCATTTTTATTAGTCATTTGATTGAATAAAAGTTATGTCATCACTTATTTTCTAAAATATTTAATATATTTAAATTTATGAGTGGTATTATTTCTACACCAATTGTGAATAAAATAATATAAAAGATAAGAGTTTTTACACATTGTTCGACAACAACAACAACCCACTTAAATCCCACAAAACTAGGATCTCAGGAGGGTGTGTGTATGCAGACATTACCCATACTCGAAAGTACATAGGCTGTTCTCAAAGAGACCCCCGGCTCAACGTCGAAAGTTGCATTGATTGGCTAATTGATTGGCTAACTTGTACTTCATTAATTAAAGATGTGCGGACAGTTTAGATATCAGTTTTACTTTATTCCATCACACCCAAATCCAAAAAGTAGAGAATTTTTGGCTCCATCGAAAAAAATGAAATTTTTTTACACTGCTTAAAAGAGGACAATAATTTGTGTGTTGGGGGGGGGGGGTGGGCAGAGGGAATACTAGTTAACTCAATATTAGGTTGAGAATTTACTTCACAGAGATTTTACTTATAAAGTATTAAACATAGCTATTTTCTCACTATAGTACTTAATGTTTTAAATTCCCTAAATGGTATTTAATTTAATTAGTAATTTTTAATGTTAGTCTAATTATACAAAAACAATGATGTTTCAATGGGAACATTGGCGTTTTGGCTTAGTTTTTTCACCCAGACTTTCTAGATATTTTTAAACATCAATGTTTTCATCTGAACATCAATGTTTTGTTGCATGTTACCTCTCCAATGGTTAGATTTTTCATTTTTCGTAAGTTGACGTTAGGGAACATTGATGTTGGGTTTAAAACATCGATGTTTTGGCCTTTTCACCAAACCAATCATTGACTTGATTGCATAAATCAAGTCCAATCAATCACAATCTTTTCCTAGCGGGAATGAGACCTTTTTGGGTATAAGTAGGGGGTTTTGAGTCTGGTTTTCATAGAACAACTCCTCTCGTTCTTTATCATTATTTTCATATCATTTGTGTATCAAATTTAGAGCTTTTGTTGAGTCAATTGAGAGATAAACTTGTGTTGTTTATAAAGCTTTTATTGCATCTCTTTATCTACTCTTCCTAGATAGTTTTTTGTGTAGAAGAGATGTTGGAGAGGACCAATTCTTCTCATTGAACGTTGAGTTTGCTAAGAACCCGTAATTTTAATGGTTAAAGTCTTGGGCGAGGAGTTCGAACGGTGTGAGTCTGAAAATAAATGAAAAAATATTGCCCGGAGGACCCCAATTTTGACATCACTCTTGTTACATACATTCCCATACACAAAATAATTTTAGATATAAAATAATTTCTAAATTGAGGTATACTTATTATTTTTCTAAAATAACAAAAACAAACGTCACAATCAAACCATCGAGTTGTGGGTTGTAGACTTGTGGCCATTTTGTTTCTTTGATAAAGATAATGTTACGAGAAACTCATTTTTGACACAAAAAATAAATATAGATATTTTAGTATAAATAATTATACGGAGTAATATGTATTTATACTTCTTTCCTCTCAAATTAAATTTTCTAGTTACTTAATTCATTCCTTTCTTTTAACGATTAAAATATTTATTAAATTAAATTTTCTATTTTCTTATTTCATTCTTCTTTTTAAGGATTAAAATGTTTATTTTAGTTTTTGGTAGTGGGATTGCACCCCATTTCCACTATGATATTGGCATGTTGAATGAAATGAGAGATTTTGAAGGGCGCGTTGGTGTCGCCGCCATGTACGCTGCCCCATTCCCGCGAAAATCTCATCTCTGTGTTACCCTGGCAGGCATCCATGTCCGGATTCCAAGTCTTCTTCAACTTCTCGATTTTCCGAGTCTCGATCTGCCACCGCAACTTCTCCGCAATACATTTGCCATGCGACAATGAACCAGATTATCCCCACTCACAATCATCACTGCAATGTCGTCTGATCCCAATCCAGATCCAGACAAACCCTCGAATTCAGACGCCGCCGCCGCCGCAGACGATGTGCAACTGTCTGCTGACCACAGGGACTCGCCGTCTACGCCTTCCGTCGTGAAGCATCTCCGGAAGATTCCTCCCATTAGTCGACCCGTGCCTGAAGACGACGATGACGGAGATGCGGAGGACGATGGAGACGAGGAGGAAGGCTGTGGAAGTGATGATTCGTTGATGACTGAGGTATCAAATCTCGGCCTCAATCGCATTAGGACTCGCTCTGCTCCGTCGCCGTTCATCATTTCTAAATCAATTCGCACGCCTTTTGATCATGGCGATGGAAATGGGGGAAGAAGGGCAGCTCATTCGCTTTCTAGGTTTTCTACCAATGCTGATCAATCTGCTGACCATTTCCCGGAAGGAGGTAGTATATAATTTTCTACAGTAAATGGGCTTCCACATTACAAACTTTTAGTTTCTCAGAGAGTTGATGAATTTAGGGCAGAAACTTAGTATCTCACTTTGATACAATTGTGTCATCTTAGTTAATCCGATCGATAGAGTGAATTGCGTGATCTTTCTGGTATGCAACTGAAAGCAATGATTTGCTAATCATCCCAACCAGTTGTTTAGGAAGTACTAAAAGATAAACATGGTGTTCTGAATCTAAAGGAAGGTTGATTCTAAATGTCTTTTTTTTTATCTTAGGCAAAAAGGTCCACTGGACTCAGACTAAATCTTTGAAAGTGCGGTCACCTCGGCACTCAAATTTAGAGGTAGTTCCTGATTTACACAACTTGGTTTAAATGTCTCTTCTATTGTGCTGTATACACTCAAGTTAGTTGAAGGGTTAGGTAACTCAGCTTAATGTCATGTGTTGTAATTCATGGTTATATATAATAACAATAAAATGATGATATTCTTATTGTAGGGTCACCATGCAGCTTTTGCCAAGGAAATGCAATCTCCACGGTTTCAGGCTATACTACGTGTCACAAGTGGTCGCAGAAAGAGGGTGCCAGATATCAAGAGCTTCTCTCATGAACTTGATTCCAAAGGAGTCCGACCTCTCCCATTTTGGAAATCTCGTGCTTTTGGGCGAATGGAGGTATATTTACTTTTCTTTCTGATCCTTATATATGCTATATGACGGAAATGAATTTGCAGCCCAGAAACTAATACTATGGTTTCTCATGTAAGCGTTTTCTTGCCTGCAATTTTCTAGGAGATTATGGTGATGATTCGGTCAAAATTTGATAAATTAAAGGAAGAGGTTAACTCTGATTTGGGCGTCTTTGCTGGCGATCTAGTTGGAATGCTTGAAAAGGAATCAGAACCCAATGCTCATTGGAGGGAGAGTCTGGAAGATTTGTTGGTAGTAGCCAGACAATGTGCAAAGATGTCACCTAGTGACTTCTGGTTGAGTTGCGAAGGCATTGTTCAGAATCTAGATGACCGAAGGCAAGAGCTACCAATGGGTACTATAAAGCAAGCTCACACCCGCCTCTTATTCATACTCGCTCGTTGTACTCGGCTTGTACAGTTTCAAAAAGAGAGTGGTTGTGAAGAACACATTCTATCTTTCCACAAACTTAGCGACGTCGGAGTGTATCCAGAACAAATGCTTGGGCCTTCTAAGGAATTCAACGGTAGAAGAAACAAAAAATCACAGGGAATGGACCATAGCAGTCTAACTGCCAAGGAAGATCAAACAGACGAGAACTCTTGTGGAGAGACAACAGAGGTTAGCACTGCTAAGAGTACCACTTCATCTACAGGAAGCGTTAGGATGTCCTCTTGGAAGAAGCTTCCTTCTGCAGCTGAAAGAAACCAGAAAGTTAAAAACTCTGATGATGTCCCACACATGGATAAATCTGACTCTCTGCTACATAATATATCTTACGAGGACTCATTTATCTGCCGCATATGTGAAGTTGAAATACCAATTATTTATGTAGAACAACATTCAAGAATATGTACTCTAGCTGATAGGTGCGACTTAAAAGGTTTGACTGTGAATGAACGACTTGAAAGAGTTTCAGAAATTCTTGAAAAGGTACTTGAATCATGGTCACCAAAAAGCATTGACAATGGGATGGTGAATCCTGAGGTAGCAAGAGTCTCTTCTTTAAGCGTTGCTGAAGAGTTAGGCATCTTTTCTACAAAACAGAATGGGTTACCTTGTCAATGCTCTCGAGAAATACTAGATTGTGCTCTTGAGTCCGATACAACTTCTGAGTTGGATAGTCTTAACAATTTTTCTGACATGTCAAAGAAGGCCTCATCAGCTAGGAGCATGACACCAAGGTCGCCATTGATGACTCCTCGGAGAAGCCAGATTGATTTTCTGTTGAGTGGGCGCAGAACCATATCCGAACATGAAAGTTATCAGCAGGTATTTTACAGAGTTTATGAGATTATTGAAGATCTTGACTCTTGGCATCTCATTAATGTATTTGCAATGATAAATCTGTTAATTGTTGATGAAATCAATCATACTGCTGATTTTTTTCATTACATTTAGTGGATACTTCTGGTAGTCGGCGGATAATTTTCATGTGCATGTTTTGATGTCCTTAATTGTCTGGGATCCTCCTTTTTTAAAAGAACTGTTTTCCCCCATTTGTTTTATTTTTTCGCAGAAGGCATTGTTCTATACTTTTTCCCCACTGGAATTACTATTGCATGTTACTCATTTTGATTTTTCTCTATGACACTTACCTTTTCTTTTCTGGCTTTCAGATAACACAAGCAACTCTTAGGCTTTTCCTCATGTCACACTCATTTTCTCAAAATGTCTTTAATCTTTTGGGATGACCAAAAGAAAACATATTTGAATTGTTAGCTTTTTCTCTTTCTTTATTTTTGCTTCTTTGGTGATTTTTTGTTCTTTCCTATTTACCTTTGCTACATATCAAAATGTTTTCTGTATGAGGGATTCATCTTATTAAGAAGATTGTTTGCTGGAAATTACAGTTCTACTTTGATGGTCTCCTGAACCACTGTTAATCAATACTCATATGTTTGTATTATGAAGTGCTGGAGTATAACAACTTTTTACAATATCTACTTCTCATATATCTTCTTTTCTTAGATGTGTTAACTACAGAATTTAGTATTTTGACAGATAAGTAAGCTACTGGATGTTTCTCGATCAGTTGCCAATGTGAACAGCAATGATTATAGTACATTAGAATATTTGCTTGACCGTCTAGAAGACCTCAAGTATGCCATTCAAGATAGGAAGGTTGATGCTCTTGTTGTTGAGACATTTGGGAGACGTATAGAAAAACTATTGCAGTGAGTTCATTTCATCTTGTATTTTTTTCCACTTCCCTGGCTGTTTCTTCTGGATAACTAACTTTGTTTACTTAACACCCCTCAGAGAAAAATATGTCCTACTCTGTGGACAGATTGATGATGAGAAAGTGGTTGCTCCAAATAGCACTGCTGATGAGGAAAGTTCAGCAGATGAGGATACTATACGGAGTTTACGTGCAAGTCCTATCAACTTATGCTCAAGGGACCGGACAACTATTGAAGATTTTGAAATAATAAAGCCAATTAGCAGGGGTGCTTTTGGGCGAGTTTTCTTGGCAAGGAAAAGAGCAACTGGTGATTTGTTTGCAATAAAGGTGAAGGTTCTAGTTATGATTTTAAAAATCCGAGATCATTTTCATGGTCTCATGATCAAACCAATCAAGAACTTTGAAGTAAAAAATGTCATATGGTGATGAAACTATGCAATGTGTACATCCCCCCACCCCACCCCCACCCACCCTAAAAAAAGAATCATTGAAAAGTATATCATTCACTGTGACATCTATGTATTTAGTGGTAAGGCTGCATGGATTTTTCTCATTTCCACATACCCTTATTTTGTGGATTCAGTTGTGTGTTTTTTTTTGTTTCGAATTCATTTTACAAATTTATTAAAAGTTTGGTGCCATGTAACTCAAATTCTTGTAGGTGTTGAAAAAAGCTGATATGATACGCAAAAATTCTGTAGAGAGTATTTTGGCAGAGCGTGATATTTTAATTTCACTCCGCAATCCATTCGTGGTTAGAATGTCTTATTTATTATTCATTTGTGCCACACTTCTCCTGGATGACTTCAAGATATTTCCAAACAGTTTACGACTAAAATCTGTTGGTGAGCAGGTCCGTTTTTTCTACTCCTTCACATGTAGGGATAATCTTTATCTTGTCATGGAGTACCTGAATGGAGGAGATCTTTTCTCTTTGCTGAGAAATCTTGGCTGTTTAGAAGAAGACATGGCTCGTGTTTATATTGCTGAAGTCGTAAGTACACATTGATGATGATCTTATGATTCTTATCACATGCCAGCAAAATCTGCAGCTTCACAATGAGCATCAGATGCATTTTAATGATCCCTTTTCAGGTTCTTGCTTTGGACTATTTGCATTCCTTAAATATTATTCACAGGGATTTGAAGCCAGACAATCTGTTGATCGGCCCAGATGGTCACATCAAGGTCGATACCCTTATTAATTAACAACTTTACATGGTTTGTTCTAGCATTAGTGAGTTGCAGCCTGGACTCCAGTTATTATTGTAGGATAAATGATTTTTATATATTCCCTAATCATTACAATCATCATTACAACTAGTTATTGTTTTTATCATTATCCTAGATTTCTATGCAATAAGGTGTTCCAGAATATTTCAATTACAAGCAAAATGTTGATTCAAAATGTAGTAAGTGCAAGTTTGAAATGGTATTTGTTCTGTACACCGAAGAAACAATAATGCTTTGCTGAATGGTCGACTGTTTGTATTTTGACGTAAATTGAGTGTGCTAGCCACAATTTTTAAATACTAAGGCAAATACCATTATCTTTTTCAATATTAAAGTGTTCCCATTTCTAAAGTGAATAGAGTATTTTTTTTATTAGATTAACTCTGGTAAGATGATAGATCATGTTCAGATTGAACTCAGAACTCACTTGTGTCAAGTATTTTTCTAATCTCAAATTTACCATCATGCATGTTTGCTTGCATATGCTTACTTTTAATATTTATAGCAGATGAAATACATCCAGGCTTAAGCGTGTTCTGTGTTCTCTCTCTGTGTGTGTTTCTTTTCTCTTTTTTCCCCAACTTTATGTTCGCATGATGCAACCTATAGTTGTCTCTCTCGAAACAAAATTTATTTGCTTCTACAGTCATGGGTGGCTGTTTTTCTTGTTAGTCCTCACAAATCTAATCCTTCCCATCACAGTTGACAGATTTTGGGCTCTCCAAGGTTGGCCTTATCAACAGCACTGATGACTTGTCTGGTTCATCCGCCTCTCCTTTGCTTGGGAATGTTAAACCAAAAGCACCACCATCGCTAAAAAGAGAAAAACAACAGAAGAATTCAGTTGTAGGAACCCCTGACTACTTGGCACCAGAGATACTCCTAGGCGTTGGTCATGGTGTGAATCCTATTTCATGACTGATATATAGGATACAGATGAACCTTTTGTCCTAAGTGTTGCTGGAATTTCATCACATTATTGCTCTTATTGTAGGTGCAACAGCTGACTGGTGGTCTGTTGGTGTTATATTGTTTGAGCTCCTTGTTGGTATTCCACCTTTTAATGCAGAGCATCCTCAGGTATGACATTTGACTCTCATAGAAGCTAATGCCAGTGCTCTATATTTATACTATCAACAACTTTACATCAAAGTGTTAATGAAGCATGGCACAGACAATTAGAAATTGATGGTAGGTCAGTAGGTTTTGCATACATGGTGACTGGATATAAATTTGAATAGTTAATCACTCAGGCTCTAGCTGTTTCGTGATGCCAAATAGTGGGATTGAAGCTAGACTCGTCCAACAGTTATCCTTATTGTGAAGTGGGATTATATCTCTTTTCAATGTCAGACCCATGCAAGCCTGTTCGGAATGATTTGACATTAAGTTGTGTGTGTGTGCGCACACACACACTACTGATCAGTAGATCTTAATTATTTTGTTTGTTGTTGAAGAAAGTATTGGATTTACCCTCTGACCATGTGTGGTATGTATTTTGCCTATTTCTTAAGAGTACATGTTGACATGTGTATACTTCTTTTGATCTGTTATTTTTCAAAGTAAACTACATGGTATCAGAGATAATTACATTTGAAAAGGGTCTATGGATACTAAATCCAATTCTGGCACGCCAAGAGTAATATGAAACGGACATATTAACGTGCTTATTGCTTAGCCATTTCAAATTTCACTAACAGTAATAGTGTAGTGCCCCAATAATGTAGTTTTAAAAAAATGTATGTGCATCAATTTTTCACATAGCTCAAAAATCAAAACTAATATATGATATATTTTTATTGTTTTGAAGCAAATTTTTGTTAATATCATGAATAGAGACATACCTTGGCCGAAGGTGCCGGAGGAATTAAGCGTAGAAGCATATGATTTGATTGACAAGTAAGATATTTAATTCCATATTCTTCACGACTAGAAAACTGGGAAGTGCTCTTTTCTCGTACACTGAGTTTATATGCACCTTTGCTTTAGGTTGTTGATCGAAAACCCACTTCAAAGATTAGGTGCAACAGGAGCAGGAGAGGTAAACTTTCCTCGGAAACCCCAATTTATAAGATATTTCATGGAAAGTGTGTGATATAACCTCTCAGTATCTTCTGCATTTTTATTAATAGGTGAAACAACACCCATTTTTCAAGGACATCAACTGGGATACACTAGCAAGGCAAAAGGTCTCTCTCTCTCTCTCTCACACACACACACAGTCACTCTATCTCTTCTTGGAGGATTGTAAAAAAAGGTTTCCATTTTAATTGAATTGGACTCACCTTTTTTCCCTCATTTCATATAGGCTACATTCATACCTTCTGCTGAACCACAAGACACTAGTTACTTTATGAGCCGTTATATTTGGAATCCAGAAGATGAAGATGTTTGGGGTGGAAGTGATTTTGATGACTTGAGTGATGTTGGAAGTATCTCATGCAGCAGCAGCTCTTGCAGCAACTTACAAGATGAAGAGGTAAGTGCATTATTCGAATATTATTGAGCATCTTGAGAATCAAATTGTGGGGAAAGAAAATGGGGAAGAATATTGAAAAGAACGAAAATTTGGGTGAAAATAAAGATTTGCTATGACTCAAAAAAATTGTTTTAGATCTTGTCCAAACACACTTTACCCATTTATTTTTTTCATATACAAGCACTAAGAAATTAACTTTCCTTTACATTTTCCCCTTCCCAAGAAGTTTCTGTGATCCAAACATACCATATAACTATAATTAGAAATAGGTAGGACGTGTGAGGATCGAGTGGTCTAATCACTAATGTTTGTAAAAATCCCTTCTTAGCACTAGTCTCATGTGCTCTCTATGTTTCGGGTCTTTTCTGGATTGAATCTACTTCAATTCTTTCTAATCATGATGAATCCCTGGGCATCTAAGGATTTTTCACCTTCCATTCCTACTCCTGTGGGATCCAACTTGGTTGTTGTTGTTGTTGTTGTTGTTTTCCATCCCTACTCTTGTGGGATCCAAATGGGTTATTGTTGTTGTCCATCTCTAAAAACTGGGCCTTGATTGGTCAATGTGCCTATTTTATAAATTTTTGGCATGATAGACTTCTTGTAAATCACCAAATCTATATACATTTGTTTTTAAACTAAATTTATCATTGTGAGCTTGTTTGGAACACGTTTTTAAAACATTATACATCAATTTCATTGAAAATTACATAGTCGTATTTACCTTTGATGAAATAAGACTGTTTTTGAGCAAAAAATTGGAAAAAAGAGACCAAATTAGGGACAGATGAAGATGGAGCAGCACTTTCCAGAGTCCACTATCAAAATTTTGAGTTGTTACAATTGAACAAGCAACTTATATTTAGATGGAAGTAACAACATGTAGAAACATAGAAGAATGTGACCTTGCCAGTTGCCACTAACACTGTTTTGCTTAACTATGCCTCGTCAATCTAATTCTTAATTTTTCGGCGTAAAATCTTCTTGCACACAAACAAACTACCCAAAACTTAATATTTGTGTTGATATTCATTTATTCCTTTATGTTTAGTCTTAATTAATCATTTTTATGATTTGGTTGATGCAGGGAGATGAATGTGGCTATTTGACAGAGTTTGGCACTCCAGCCCTGCTAGAGCAATATTCATTTAGTAACTTTTCATTCAAGGTAGGTACTGACATTTATGCTCCCTAATAAAAATATAGGGTAAATGTGGAGTATGTCCCCTGGTTATGAATCTAGCATATACTGTCATCAAGTTGCTAGCGAGGAGACTCAAGGGTCAGCATCTAATCCATGAGAAAAAAGGGAAACCAATTTTTTCATTCGCTCATTCTACAAAGTACCTGGAATGGTCCTTAAGGGATCTCTGCGTAATCAGGAGCTAGGACTACATAGGATAGTCCCATAACCGGGGGTCTAAGGTGGTTGGTGTTATACTGACGCTACTATCCTTTTTTCAAGTTTTTACTTACCCTCTTCGTTCGGAATTACTTACCCTCATACCATATCTCAAGGATATTGTAGGCAATTAGTCATAATTTTTATAATTTCTTTATTGAACATGGATAGTGGACAACTAATTCGAGAGGGAGGAAGTATTCTTTATTCTTATTTGAATGAAATTAGACCAATCCTGCTATATTCCAAAGAATACACAACCAAACCAAACCAGACCAGATTATGAAAATTACACAAGCTCAGAGTCTCAGACCACACCAAATATTTGATAATTTTAGATGTCTAAGGTGAAGAGAGTAGTTCCTAACTTTGTTTTTGTGATGCAAATTGCTGAGAAACTCATACAGTTTACAGAATATTACTCCTTATTTTATAATAACATTGAAAGGCTGTGTTTTCAGAACCTATCTCAGCTGGCTTCCATGAATTATGATTTGGTAGTAAAGAATGCCAAAGAGTCCGTTGAGAAGCAGCAGTCATTACCCATTCCATGACAGAATCAAGAAGATGAGCAAAACCCTAGATGGCCTACGTTTGCTCGAAATTAAAGCTTCATGTGGGGGTGGAATTGGGAAGAGGATGAAACAATTGACTCTATAATGTGATGAGATCCCTTTGAGAGACATTTTGGCTCAGGCGGCTGCTATCAGAATCCCAGTGGTATGTAAAAAAAACATAATTTGTGCTTTTGATGGCTGGGCTGTATACTTGTATATATACATGGAGTATATAATGGTATTGATCGGTTTGACTAAGAGTCCGTTTGGTATAAGGAATTGGTGGAATTGGAATTGAATTAGAATTGTAATTCCATGGGATTCAATTCCATAGAATTGAATTCTGTCAATTTCAATTCATTTTTTGCACTATCAATTCCAAATCTACATAATTTTTGTGTTACCAAACACTAGAATTGGAATTGAAGTCCTCAATTCCAATTCCATAGTTTGAATTCCATGTACCAAACGGGGCCTAAAAGAAACTCTCATCACCAAAAATTATGGTATGCTTTTTCTGAGTCAGAATATTGGAAAAGATGAATATTTGTGAAATTTTATCCACCCCAAAACAGTACATGTTGCAAACATAAACAAACTTGTTATTGGTTTTCAGTTGATTTAGATGCTCCACCCATTTTTGTCATGCCATCTTGTCTTAAACATGTTGCTTGAATTTCCTATGAAAACTTGCATGGAACAATCTAAGATATGAGAGAAGTTGTATAGAAATGAAACAAGGCAAACGAGTGTTCAATGTGCGGCTTAAATGGAAACTAACAAGTCAAATTCATTGGCTTATATTAGATTTTTTTATACAGTGTCAAGCATAGTATATATTTACTCCGTCCCTAAATGGATTGAATGCAAGCCAAAATGAAGTAAAATTTTATGTTTTTTCAAAAAATAAACTTGCTCATTTAAAAGTTATGTTAAAAGTTTTACAATACAAGTTGTGATAATACTCATAATATTTAATTTTATCAAATAATCAATGAAAATATAATAATATATACTATTAGTATTTATTGAGAACTTAGAAAAGTAAGGTGTGCAATCCATTTAGTAGTGATGTCAACATGGTAGATAACTAAGGATAAAGTTTTAGTAGTAATGTCAACTTGGTGGATTATTGAGGGTAAATTTTATTTGAATTATAGCTATTTTAACACTCTAATTAGTAAAAAAGCACCTCATCTGTTCTTACCGGCCTAAGATCCTAAACTATAGATTGATAAGGTAAATTATGAAGTAAGATTTGTCTCTAATATAGAATATAATTATTCTTTATTGTTGCCTGGAGTAAATTTCGGGTGTTATCTCTTTTACACATCTTATTGACCAGCCAAACTATGCCCCGGACATAACCATTTTAGTTGACATGATAATTTATTACGGAGTAGTAGAGTAGTTCTAGTTTTCTTGATAACATGGATGCTCCTTTTAGGATTTTTTAGAAAAGAAAATATTGTAAAATTCTATGAAAGTAGTGTAACAATACTGAATGACAACAGTATTCCATTAGATTTATTACTCCATACTATACAAACATATATGAATATATGTACTTCGAAGAGCAAGGAAAAATTTCAAACAGGGCTAGGAAACAAGTTTGAGCTTGCATACGTAATGCAGACTCAATATTAATTTGAAAATAATGTTTCAATTTGAAGCATTGTCATGATTTTTTTTCAAAAGGATAAAATTATCCGCCCCTTCTTTTGACAACAAAAAAGGGTGTCATATTATGACAACAAGACCTACGATGTTCTGTTTGAAAAATTGATGATTTCTACTATGTGAAACACCCTAGCAACCATAAATTTTTTGAACAAAGTATTGTAGGCAATCGATGTCATAATATGACAAGAATGATTGTTGTCGAAAGAAGCCCACGGTAAAACTATTGTCAAATAGAGAGTAGACACTTATTTAAATGGGTTAATTTGTTGTACATCAATTTTGTATCTTTTTTTTTTTTTTGAAGTAAATCAATTTTGTATCTGTCATAAGAAAAAAGAAAGAAAAAAATCTGCTAGGTGCAACAAGTAGGCCAGTGTCGGCAGCACGCAAATTGAAATGTCAATATTACTGCACCAATCCATCGCGCATGCATTCACACCACCCCTCCTCCTCCTTTGTCTAATTCTTTTTCTTTATAATAGGGACGGCATGTTTTTTATTACTGTCTCCTTTCATAAAACGATTCCTATTTTCATTTTTTAAAAAAAAGTGTATATTTGTGGTTGATTCTTCCATTTTACTTTTCATGTGATGAGTAAAAGTAAGATATGATGGATAAAATATTAGTAAAAAAGTATGATGTGATAGATATTGTAATAAAAAGTAGGAGTAAAAATCGTTTTTAATAAAGTGAAAGTGTTTTGGAAAATAAAAAAAAATTGAAAGAGGAAGAAACAGATGGAGTACAATTCCTTGTGTCTCCCATAATTCTTTCAAATTATTGAGTGTTTGTAATTTTTAAAGAGAGATGAAAAACATGAGAGCTTATTAAAATATTGTGAATACAATGTGATGGAGTATATTAAATGAGGTGAGTTATTATGTTTAATAAAAAAATAAATTGAGATAATTATGATATTTTAAAATTTTAAAGACGTAATGGAAACGGGAAAGATGTCAATTTTCAAGTAAACAAAAGGTGTTATGAATATGGTAATATAAATATTTTATTTTATCAAATACTTCACAATCAATGAAATGTAAAATTTTTGAATAGTAAAATATTGATGGGTATATCCTTATACCCGACCCGGACAACCGAAAGGGACAGGTCAAAAAATGACCGGTCACTTTTATCAATCACCAAATGAGGTTAACTCTTCGACTGGGACGGGTCAAAAGTTGACCGGTCACTTCCACTAAAAAAGTGACCGGTCACATTTTGGGCGATAGCCAAAATGTCGCCTAATGTTACAAAGGACATTCTAGAAGACCAGAGACGGGTTGAGCACAAAGAATGACCGGGTAACTTTTGAGAGAAGGTGACCGGTCATATCACTTTACTTGGCTAACATTGGTTCAGTCTCTTAGGCATGGTGAACCACGTCAGAGGTCAAGGGGACACCCCGCCGCTCATCCATCACGAGGCACACAGTGAAAGGGATGTTTGTCATTTTGCAGGGTTGATTGGATTGAGAATATCCATTTTAGTCTTTGATTGAACA